ATTAATCAAAGGACTATTAGAATAGTGGGTTTACAAAAATAAAATCCGATTGAGAAGGTTAAGGTGGAAATAAGGATTAACAATAATAGGTTGCGTTTCTTTAGTTGGGCTCACCAATGTAGAACTATGGTCTACTATGATATTAGTACTGCTCTAATAATAGACCTAATCCTAAATTTGTAGATTTGTCATGATATAACTGCCTAATCTATAAGATCTTACGTGGAAGTCACACCATCGACTACACCAACTCACTGTATCGTATCAATTACCAATACATGATGTAGAACAAGGTTAGGCTAGAGAAAGAACAATATATTTAATATGAATAGAAGATATAAGTAACATTGAGATGGACCACGCCTGCATGGCCGAGCCATGCCACTCGATCAACTCCAGTCCATTCAATTCATTGTTCGCGCCTTCTCCATTGTTAGGTATTTCTCCGCGTTAAATATTGAATATCTATTTTCTGAGCAGTCTCGTGTTCACAGCTTTGTGGATTGTGTGGCTATTGTCCAATGCCACTACAGATCCTCCATATCCATCACTGCGGTCAAAGCACTGAACACAAGCTTTTCGTCCTCTCAATTTCCTAAGCAACGCCTGTGATTTGAGAGGGAAGTGGGTAGAACTTGCTTGGCAGTGACCATATGAGAGCATTCGGAGAGAAGGAGTGGACTCTCCCCACCCTAAGTGCTGACAGGTCATTTGAAGGCTGATGACAACAACGTCAGTGTCGTTAGTTTAGACTCGCTACGACGTCTAGTTCGCTAAAGCTAAAGGTTCAGGGACCCCATGAGTCTTGCAACGTGTGGGAAATTTACCATTATGTATACACACCTAATAAGATCCAGACCAGGCCCGGATATCTTGGAAAAAGTATAAGAGACGACTATCAACGTAATTATGGAATTCTGAAGTTCAAAATACACAGTGAGGCTTTCAAAGTTAGACCATATTAAGCTATTTAATTGTGGAATGAGGAGATATAATCATGATGTATAAGGTAATATGTGATGACCTCGAACCTGTTATATACTCCCGATTTCCTCTGCTTGAGTTAGAATAACTGGGGGGACATGATGAGCAACGGATAAACTTCATGTGGCATAAAGATCTTATTGCCGTGTAATTGGCTTACAGATGCTACAATTATTCGAAGCTTGATGACACCTTAACTAGCAACACCGTTTATAATCAAAATATGCCAACCCACTTAAATCAAAAGTCAGGAGCGAAGAGGTTCGAAGATATATTTTATAGACTATCGATATATCTAGAAGTGATAAATCTAAGCTGGCTATCGGTCGCAGGAGATCTGAAGCTCGGCGTACCAACTCGTGATCTGGCGCGGGTGTGTGACTGAGTGTCTTCATCTAGGTTGTCGCATTAAAGTTTATGCGGCCAGCATCAAATGTCGAAGAATTACAGAGATATTGATTTCGGCGATTTATTTACCACTACGACGGGGTGAAATAGCGTTCAAACATCGAACTCAATAACTCAAAAAAAAGACAAGAGACTCATGTAAGCTCCCTAGAAAATGGTGAAGACCGAATTTCAGCCTTCTGTCCACATTAAGCAAACTTGAATCTGAATCTATTGATAATCGGAAAGTTTGAGCGCTCTGTTTGGGGTTGTACGGTCAGTTGAGTAGGTTCATCCTGCGAAGTATTCGTTTGAAGACACAGATCTGGTAAAATTTTGAAATAAGATCACTATGAAGTTTTATTTTCAGTCTGAAAATCAATTTATTCATTTAAATAGGCCTATCCTTCGGTTGTTATTGTGTAGATTTGACTATTTCCGTTTTTAGATGACTCCTTGATCTGAAGTAATTTCTAAGCTCACTTGTGTGATAACTGTTAGAATTTTACCTCCGAATGTCCCTCGATTTATCTAGGGACTTTACACCATAGTGGGAATTAAATAATACAGTAAACGGAAATAAGAATAATTTTTACCAACAATTATAATAACTACATAGGGTGTTACATTCGACGTAATACAGTAAACCATTTGTGCCCAACCGGTATTAGACCCCACTGAAAAATAACCTCAACTCACTAATCATGATATTTCCAGATTTGGTAGTCTATAAAAGCACAAATATACACTAAGTTCGATTCCTCTGAGTAATTTTACGTATAATTGTTTTGAAAACTTCACTCAACACTGTATGAGTGAACACAATCTCAAAAAAACGCCAATAGGTGAGACCATAATTTATGGACGAACCAATCAGATATAGGATATCAGCTCTTGAATTTTGGTGCGAAATTCATTCATCCATTTGCCCAAATGGCGTTTTGGCGTTTCAACTGGTTTCAGTTCGTTATGAAAGCCTTAAATATAGTTACTAACCACAACCACTACCTGTATATAATAATCCAAATTTCTCACAACGGTTTACTGCCCTCAGTCCTAGTTAGTAGACGGACATTCTAAAGGTCACTAGCGTCGCCATAAGGTTGTCTATAAACTATAGACTCAATCATCAATTCTAACACTCTGATCTAGATGATGGGTAGTGAAGTTTACTTGACTAATTATAAAGTCAACGTCACAGTAGTTTGTGTTCATATAAACATGCCAAGAGAATTGATATCTTGAGTCCACTGTAGGTTATTCATTTTTACCTTCTGGCAAGTTAGTTTTTGAAATTTCAATTTTATCTAAGATGGTACCCATTTTGTCAATATAATCACTTTCAATAAGAAAGACAACTGAACCTTTGTTAGGTTTCGTAACCAATAACGTCTCATCCTTTTGGAGCACGTTGATAGCGTCCTTTTGCTTTTTTGTAAAAATGCTTTTTTAATTAAATTTTTCTTATGCTGGTAACAACAATTTACAAAGTTTGATTTCAAATATTATAGTTGTTGACCAGAATTCGCAACTAAATACCACATGACTACATAAATAGTCAAACTGTATACCTGTTTGTGGTTAGAGTGATTCCGGGTATCACAGAATTTCATAATTAAGGATAATATTTCTGGTTTTTCCTTATCTAGTTCAACACTTTAAAAAAATTATGGACATCCGTTTTGCAACAGGCCAGAAATTTACTTCCAACTGTTTAATTCTTCAGACTTTTCAATAGCTGGATACGTTTCTTCTCTGTTCTCTGTTCCATAACGTTCGTAACATAGTCTATAAAGAGCATTCTCAAACCATCCATTAGGTCGTCTACAGCATATTTTCTGCAAAAATCATTTATTTGCATCTCTTCAATACCGGAATGCAAAGTGTCAATCTGGTTCAGGACGTAGCTTTTCCGTGTTTTTCTATTTTGGTAAACTCCGTCCCGTCGTAACAGTCTATGGTATAATTTTGAGTGCTGACTTGAGTCAATGCAGTTGTTGATAAATTCCCTAACAGTTTTCGTCCCAACGGACTTTACATCATACTTCAGGAACTCATTGAACTCCTTCAACACAATGGGTTGTTCACAACTCTTTAGTTATTTAAACATCCCAGTCATATTAAGAGACTAATATACGGGCAAAAAATATTGTTTTCAGTTAATTCTCTTCAGGTTCTAGAATTATATATCCCAATTAATAATCCGAAAAGTGGTCAGGTTTACGAAAAAGTGCATCGTTTAAAGTTATAGCATGTGAATTTAGGATTATTAAATAAAATAAAATTGTTAATGTTGAGATGCCTCGTATGTAGTGCTAACTAGAATCAGCTTATATGTTGAGTGAAATTATGAGATTCACAATCAGAATAAATATGGGTCAGGTCAGACTAAATTATTTATTTACATATTTCGAGAAAGACACATCTGGACAGTTCTTCCACTGACCGTTTCTAGCTTACTTGATTCTTAGCCGAGTTGTACTACCGCCTTACTAAACTGTTCTTAAACGTGAATTACTAATTTAGAGCTGATGAAAATAGTTTATGACAGCACCATCAAACATCTGGTTCCAGAAAGCATATTCAGTTTATAATTCATGTACTAATCAAAACTGAGACCACTTGTTTTATTTTGCTATGAAAATAATAAAACAAAGGAAATAAGGCCTTGAAATGGCTTCGCGGTGACTGGCTTAATCCTGATCCATACTATCTACCACTACCTTAATTCACGACTCAATGTTAGGAGTCAAATCACTCTAAATCAATAGATTGTAGGTCTTAACCCGGGTCCATTTTAAATAAATAGTTCTTATACAAAAATATATGACTCATGGCCGATTACTTAGAGTACATATGATTTTCCTGTGAGACTATAATTTATGGACGACCTCTGAGCGACACTAAAGTAGTCTTGAGAATGTCCCCCTACTGACCAGGGCTTAATGAGGGTTTCAAACCTGTGTGAAATATAAAGATTGTGATTTGCAGTTGATGGTTAGGGATAGGGATTAGATTTAGGGTTTTCATCACGAACTGATATTAGCTCAAATGTCAAGATGCTATTTAGTCAAATGGATAAAGAATTTGGCGCCGAACTCCAAGACCTGTTATCGTAAATCTGATTGGTTCGTCCATGAATTATAGTCTCGCCGATTTTCCATTTTCAACAGTATCAGATTGTCTTTTTGGTGATTCTTACTTTGGATTTTTAGTGCTCGGAAGTGCTTCCAGCTAACACACTCTACTGAATAACGGACTTACAACCAATTAGTCATGGGTCTAAACCGCGCTCCAGTTTGACCAACAAATAGTACTAATAAAACTTAGAAGTTAGTACATAAACTTATACGTAGTAAATAAGTTAGATTTAAAAATTAATAGGAACGTCCGCTTCATCATCTGACAAGATTGTACTAAACCAATATTTCGTTAGTATACAAAGTTTGTCCATTTTTTCTTAGATCGCAAGGTTAGTGTCTCATTTATATATTTCTACCATTTGGTTTTTTGTTATCCGTAATCTTTTCTTAGACAAATTTAACATCAATCTGTAATGTAATTTTATTTCCGTTGTTTTTATTTCATATTAACAGGTTCATAAGTAGACATTGACGTTGAATTATTTGATGGCTACTGCTTCTAAAACAGAAAGTAGACTTGTTACAGAGCAAAATATTTTCAATTATTGCATCTCTGGTGATTTAAAATCATTAAAAGAATGTGCACGTTCTGTTGGTCAAGTAGTTCATAAAAATTCACTTGATGGTCAAACTTGTCTCATTGTAGCATGTAGAAATGGTAACTTTGCTCTTTTTCTCATTGTGAATCATGTCATCTAGGACATTTAGATGTTGCCGAATACTTAATCGACTTTCATGGGGCAGATGTTGAACAAGTCAGTTTCTTATACTGTATAGTTTCAGCTTTTACAGGAATTTTTGCATTCGTAGTTAGCGAATAAATTGCTTTTAGATTTTTCTGCTTTCATAACTAAGTTCAGCTATGTTGGTTGCTTGGACTGGTCCCTGACGAGTCCCAGAAGGGACGAAGTGCACACCATGGATTCCATTGCAAGCCACTATCCATCTCTGCTTAAATTTAGATAGTTTTAAATTATTGCAATATTGCAATTCAGTGTGCTCAATTCGTCCTTTCACACATCTATTGCACAAGTGTTCACTACATTTGATTTTTAAACTATACTATTAAAGCCACTGTATTTTCAGCTCGTTTTTAAATGCAATTTGCTTTGGAAGTACATAGTACACTCGGTTTTAAGTAACACTTTACACATATGATACCTAGTGCTACTTTTTAGTTGCCGAAATCATAATAGATGCAATGGTGTTCGATGATCTACTAATTAAACACCAATTTCTTTAACCATAAATCCACTGCTCTAATGTATCTGACAATTTTGAATTGACTGCTTTGGTATTCTAACAATCTTCTAAATTCTAAACATAATTTTCCGACACTGATAATAAAGTTATTTATGTTCTTTTGATCAATGTTGTAACTTTTCAGTTTTGATGAAGTAATCTTTTCTGTTACTCATAGGCTAGATCTCATTTTCTTTTAAATAATTATAGTGTACAATTAAAATGTTGAAATCAATTCTCGATAAATTTTTCATGTTGCTCTTCACATTACTTTGTGCCACCAATGAATATAGTAAATAAGAGTGAACATGATATCTACAAATTGAGCCGTTACATATTTGTGTCTGACCATACATTGACCATTACTGACTTGGAATAACAATCATAAAGAGTAAAAATTTAGATTCTCTTCGTTTTACAGTAAGGACTTTTTTATATGGCTTACACCAGTTTTGGTAGTAATCTTTTTTCTTACAATAACTTTTTAACTTTACTAAACTCAAATATTCAAGAATTTTCGTAAATACAATGTAGAGTGGACTTACTTACTTACTTACTTACGCCTGTTACTCCTCGTGAAGGAGCATAGGCCACTCACCAGCATTCTCCATCCAACCCTGTCCTGGGCAATCCTTTCTAGCTCCGTCCAGTTGTAATTCATCCTTTTCATATCTGCTTCTATAATCCGACGCAATGTGTTCTTTGGCCTTCCTCTTTTTCGCTTCCCTTCAGGGTTCCAAGTTAGGGCTTGCCTCGTGATGCAGTTTGACGATTTGCGTAATGTATGTCCTATCCATTTCCATCGTCTTTTCCTAATTTCTTCTTCAGCTGGAAGTTGGTTTGTTCTCTCCCACAGAAGGCTATTGCTGATGGTATCCGGCCAATGGATGTTGAGTATCTTGCGTAGACAGCTATTTATAAATACTTGTACTTTCTTGATTGTGGTTGTTGTAGTTCTCCAAGTTTCAGCTCCATACAGTAGAACTGCCTTGACGTTCGTATTGAAGATTCTCACTTTGATATTGGTTGAAAGTTGTTTTGAGTTCCATATGTTCTTCAATTGTAGGAATGCGACCCTTGCTTTGCCGATCCTCGCCTTTACGTCTGCATCTGAACCTCCTTGTTCATCGATGATGCTTCCTAGGTATGTGAAGGACTCTACATCTTCCAGAGTTTCGCCATCAAGAGTGATTGGATTGCTGTTCTCCGCTTGAATTTGAGGACCTTGGTTTTCCCTTTGTGTATGCTGAGGCCTACTGATGCAGAGACTGCTGCTACACTGGCTGTCTTCATCTGCATCTGTTCGTGTGTACGTGATAGGAGGGCTAGGTCGTCTGCGAAGTCCAAATCGTCTAATTGATTCTGAGTTGTCCATTGTATTCCGTGTTTTCCTTCAGATGTCGAGGTCTTCATAATCCAGTCGACCACCAGAAGAAAGAGGAAGGGAGAGAGTAAACAGCCTTGTCTGACTCCAGTCCTTACTTGGAATGCATCTGTCAGCTGTCCTCCATGCACTACTTTGCACTGTAGTCCGTCGTATGAGTTCCGGATAATGTTGACAATCTTCTCAGGAACTCCGTAGTGTCGAAGAAGTTTCCATAATGTCCTCCTATCTACACTGTCGAATGCCTTTTCATAATCAATGAAGTTGATGTATAGTGATGAGTTCCACTCAACTGATTGTTCGACGATGATCCGTAGTGTTGCAATTTGGTCTGTGCACGACCGATCCTTACGGAATCCAGCTTGTTGATCTCGAAGTTGGGCGTCTACTGCATCCTTCATCCGGTTCAGCAACACTCTGTTGAAGACTTTCCCTGGTATTGACAGTAGTGTAATGCCTCTGTAGTTTTCACATTTGCTCAGATCTCCTTTCTTTGGAATCTTGACGAGGTGTCCTTCTTTCCAGTCCATCGGCACTTGTTCCTCCTCCCAAATCTTTTTGAATAGAAGGTATAGCATGCTTGTGGTTGCTTCGATGTCTGATTTCAGTGCTTCAGCTGGTATGTTGTCGGGTCCTGCTGCTTTCCCGTTCTTGATTTGTCTGACGGCCATTCTAATTTCTTCCGTCGTTGGTGGGTTGACATCTATAGGAAGATCTATGTGTGCTGCTTCGATGTCCGGTGGATTCATTGGAGCCGGCCTATTCAGGAGTTCCTCGAAGTATTCCACCCATCTGTTACGCTGTTGTTGAATTTCGGTGATTGGCTTGCCTTCTTTGTCTTTGACCGGCCTCTCTGGTTTACTGTATTTCCCTGCTAGTTTCTTCGTTGTATCGTGAAGCTGTTTCATATTTCCTTCTCTAGCAGCTTTTTCTGCCGTCGTTGCTAGTTCTTCCACGTATTTCTTCTTGTCGGCTCTAATGCTCTTCTTCACTTGTTTGTTTGCTTCTATGTATTCAGCTTGTGCTTGGACTTTCTCTGCTCGTGTTCGGCTGTTGTTAATTGCTGCCTTCTTGTTCTTCCTTTCTTTGATCTTGTCCAGTGTTTCTATAGAGATCCATTCCTTATGATGGTGTTTCTTTAGGCCCAGAACCTCTTGACACGTTGAAGTTAATGCTTCCTTGATGCCTTTCCAGTTGTCCTCCATAGTAGTTTCTTCTTCATTCAGTAGATCTTGTAAGGCTTGGAACCTGTTGTTGAGAGCTATCTTGAATTCATTGAGTTTGTCAGTATCTCGAAGGAAGGCTGTATTGAACCTTTGTAGTGCTGTTTGTCCACTTGTCCAGTTCTTTTTCAGCTTCAGTTTTAAATTGGCTACAACTAGGTGGTGATCTGAAGCTACGTCAGCACCTCTCCTGGTTCTCACATCTTCCATTGTCCTTCGGAATTTTTTGTTGATGCAAATATGATCTATTTGGTTCTCTGTAGTGTGGTCCGGTGAGATCCATGTAGCCTTGTGTATACGCTTGTGTGGAAATATTGTGCCTCCTATGACCAATTTGTTGAATGCACACAAATTTGCAAATCTTTCTCCATTTTCGTTTCTTTCTCCCAGTCCATGTCGTCCCATAATATCTTCATATCCAGTGTTGTCTATTCCGACTTTGGCATTTAGATCTCCCATCAGAATAGTTAGGTCCTTTCTTGGCATTTCTCAATGATTGACTGCAGCCGCTCGTAGAACTGATCTTTAATGTCGTCGTTGCTATCATTGGTGGGTGCATAACATTGGATAATATTCATTAAGATCCCCTCCTTCTTTGTTTTGAATGATGCTTTGATGATTCTGGATCCGTGAGACTCCCATCCTACAAGTGCATTTCGTGCTACTTTGGACAGCATAAGAGCGACTCCCTGAGTGTGTGGAGCATTGTCCTCCTCGTGACCGGAGTATAGCAGCATCTCTCCCGTAGCTAGCCTTTTCTGTCCAGCTTGGGTCCAGTGGGTTTCGCTGATTCCCAGTACTGCTAAGTTGTATCTCCTCATTTCCATTGCTATTTGACTGGTCTTCCCGGTTTCCCACATTGTTCGAACGTTCCATGTACCTATAAAAATTTTTGCTCTGGTTGTTAGAAGGGGCATCGGCCTCGTGGCTTCCGAAGGAACTCGGCTTTCACCATGAAGCGTCATAATTCTTCTAACTGAAGACCTTCTAACTCCCAGGGCAGAGTTTAAATGGTTTGGATTATTTTTTCTGGTAAGCGTTTTTTTAGCGAGTTAGTTTTCTACGGGATGGGGACGCTAACCCCATGCCCAACCCTCCTCCTTTACCCGGGCTTGGGACCGGCAGTAACCCTATTAGAGCTACAGGCGGAGTTATGTAGAGTGGAGGGATTAATTAAATACAATCCGGTAAGCAAACACATGTTCATGTGTTTAGTTTCAACTAATAAATTCTATGTAAAAAAAGATAGTGATAATATCTGAGAGTCCATACCTGGAATCGGTAGCCAAGCGGATCACATCAGTCAGTCAGTCAGTAACAACGAAGAACTTCGTACGTACGTACATCAGTTCGAGTTGCCACACCACATTGGCACAGAGATGTAGTTGTCGATTCAAATCCCGTAGTGGTAGAGGTAATAAGAGTATAAGCAGTAATCGGGAAGATTAGTGTTTGGAGATGTTATTTAAAGAGTATAATCCAGTGAAATATATTTGGAAAGAGGAAAAAAGGGACATGAAGGATTCAGAAGGTTAGAATTTGGGAGAACACAAAGAGTGGATGCACCTGCGCCATTGCAAACGATTTTGAGCCATGTCATTCAGGGTCTCTAACCATCGGTTGCTATCATTTCGCGCTCCCCAACCAGGTAGTCTACACATGATGGCGTTTGAAGCAAACGATACTGAGTTCGAGCCCGGAGTGAACATCAACGTCGGGTTACAAGCACACCCAGCTGACGAGTCCGAAACAGGATAAAACTCGCTTCCTAGATTCCACTACTAACCACGTTCCATCAGTAGTCATAAATGATTCTTATTGTGATGACAGGAAAAATAGGTGTATAATATAATATTATATATCATTGGGCACATTATTTTGTTAAAAACGTATCTTACTTAAATTTCTGGTCATAAAATTTACATAATGAAGGTTAACTCATTCTTTTTTGCTCGTATATTTCTCCCAGGTTGGCGTTGTAGAATTTGAAGGAGAACAAGTAGAAGGTGTACCTCCACTATGGTGTGCTTCAGCAGCTGGACATTTGAAATTAGTTGAATTGTTAATTAGTCGTGGTGCAGACGTTAATCGAACAACAATTACTAATTCAACAGCTCTTCGTGCTGCTTGCTTTGATGGACATGAACAAGTGCGTTTCTTTCTCAGCAAGATATGATCACTTGTTTTTTTATGTTTACAGATTTTTCCATGTTAAAATTTGAGTGATATGCAGTCGATTTTTTTGAACTGCTTGATTTAAATAATCGATTTCTATACGTTATTTGTTCTCAAAATTGATAAATCTTTTCTCTGTCTCTATAAAACAAAAGAATACTGCACACTTTGTGTTATTATCAAGACGCTTACCAAGTGATGATAGAAAGACAAGTGTTTGGATAAGCGTTTCCGGAGCGTAGTTTGTATCTTATGGGACTGAAGTGAGTAAATGAATTAGTGTCTAGCAATGGGATTTGGATAATTGCCGCTTCGTCCTGACTAGGACTCATCAGTTGCATGTACTAGTATGATAGTGCTAATGTTCACACCCAGATTAAAATCCATTCCCTTTCGTCTCAAATGCCCAATTAGTTATCTCGTTGTTGGTAATATTGACTGAATTTTAATCACTTTGTTAGTACGTATGTACCCTGTTGGAGTTACCTCGCTAAAGCTATTTCTCTACGTTTTTTTCACAAAATAGATGGATTTGTGGCTAGTAGTGAAATCTAGTCAGGATAAACAACCCAAATGCCCTGGTACAACCGAAAGTGGAGAGAGTCCGCTCTCCCTCTCGAAATGCTCTCACGTGGCCACGCGTATACAGCCTCTGCCAGGGAAGTCCTACTCACTGCCTTCTCGCACCACGGGTGTTGTTTACGAAATTGAGAGGACGAAAAGCGAATGTTCGGCGCTTTAACCGGATTCCAAACCAATGGTACATATGGGCTCCAGTACCCTGAAGGAACAAAGGGCGTATGAACCAATCGTTGGTCACCGGCTACCATGGGACTGCATCTCCTTACGGTGCTCCACTGCCTTGTGGATCAGACTTTCGGGTCGAAGGCTCTGGGTGTGGTCCCCTAAGAAAACCACCTGCTCCGGTCTGGACACCCGGGCAGTATCACAGACCTCACACATGTCGAATGAGATTTGTGTGGCGCATATGTATTTGGTGCCTCTTTGTACCAATATCTATGTGTTGAAATAAAATAAAATAAAATAAACCGATTAATTCAAATCCTTTCTAATAATAATGCAAATAACATATCGATAGCACAAGCGAGTGGCTATCTGGACTCAGTAATTCAGTGAATAACTAATTGAGCATTTGAGACGAAAGGGAATGGGTTTAAATCTGGGTGTGAACATTAACACTATTATACTAGTACATGCAACTGATGAGTCCTAGTTGGGAAGAAGCGGCAAACATCCAAATTCCACTACTAGACACTGATCTATCTGCTTTATGAAAAACTTGCTACATAGCATCTTTATAGAGTCAGTCCTCACAGAATACACATGTACCAAAAAGGATTGCTCAAAACTCCGTTAAGATTATTAAAAACGTGATAGTTCAAATCCTTTCCTATGGTAATACAGTAAGTAAAACCATAGTTGAGTGTATGGTAAATGGTAATTTGGAATTAGTGCATCATGATAAAAGATTCGTGCTTTTCTTTAAAAAAAAAGAGATATTTCTTTCTGTTTGAATAATCCTTTTTTCTTCATTCTATAAAGGTTGTTCGATATCTTGTTGAACATGGAGCAAATATTGAAAATCCAAATCGCCACGGACATACTTGTCTCATGATTAGTTGTTACCGTCGTCATGATAATATTGTAGAATATCTGCTTAGTAAAAATGCTCGAGTTAATCGAAGAAGTGCTAAAGGTTAGTTCATAAATTCCCTTGTATATGTCTATCTCTTAAGTGACTAACGATTTGATACAATCATGCATGAATGAAGTAATAGTTGAGTAATTCGAAGTCAGTTTTGTTTGTAAACAAAGGAACACTTAACTGGTCGAGATAGTTTGATATTATTTAGCAGTATACATCTAAAATTTCCGTCATGTCGTACACTGCACTCTTAATACATTGATAATAATATCCACTTTACATTTCTCAATGAAGCTTGAAATAATGATTTGAAGTTCTTACTTAGTAGTGAGGACACTCGAATCTTTGAACATTAACGTTTCAAGTTCAAATCCTACCTACTACACCTCAATTTGATCAACTGGATGGTAGTGGTAGTTTATAATTTTCTTCAGGAACCGACATTAGTGAGATAATTACTTACTTACTTACTTACTTACGCCTGTTACTCCTCGTGAAGGAGCATAGGCCACTCACCAGCATTCTCCATCCAACCCTGTCCTGGGCAATCCTTTCTAGCTCCGTCCAGTTGTAATTCATCCTTTTCATATCTGCTTCTATAATCCGACGCAATGTGTTCTTTGGCCTTCCTCTTTTTCGCTTCCCTTCAGGTTCCAAGTTAGGGCTTGCCTCGTGATGCAGTTTGACGATTTGCGTAATGTATGTCCTATCCATTTCCATCGTCTTTTCCTAATTTCTTCTTCAGCTGGAAGTTGGTTTGTTCTCTCCCACAGAAGGCTATTGCTGATGGTATCCGGCCATGGATGTTGAGTATCTTGCGTAGACAGCTATTTATAAATACTTGTACTTTCTTGATTGTGGTTGTTGTAGTTCTCCAAGTTTCAGCTCCATACAGTAGAACTGCCTTGACGTTCGTATTGAAGATTCTCACTTTGATATTGGTTGAAAGTTGTTTTGAGTTCCATATGTTCTTCAATTGTAGGAATGCGACCCTTGCTTTGCCGATCCTCGCCTTTACGTCTGCATCTGAACCTCCTTGTTCATCGATGATGCTTCCTAGGTATGTGAAGGACTCTACATCTTCCAGAGTTTCGCCATCAAGAGTGATTGGATTGCTGTTCTCCCCTTGAATTTGAGGACCTTGGTTTTCCCTTTGTGTATGCTGAGGCCTACTGATGCAGAGACTGCTGCTACACTGGCTGTCTTCATCTGCATCTGTTCGTGTGTACGTGATAGGAGGGCTAGGTCGTCTGCGAAGTCCAAATCGTCTAATTGATTCTGAGCTGTCCATTGTATTCCGTGTTTTCCTTCAGATGTGAGGTCTTCATAATCCAGTCGACCACCAGAAGAAAGAGGAAGGGAGAGAGTAAACAGCCTTGTCTGACTCCAGTCCTTACTTGGAATGCATCTGTCAGCTGTCCTCCATGCACTACTTTGCACTGTAGTCCGTCGTATGAGTTCCGGATAATGTTGACAATCTTCTCAGGAACTCCGTAGTGTCGAAGAAGTTTCCATAATGTCCTCCTATCTACACTGTCGAATGCCTTTTCATAATCAATGAAGTTGATGTATAGTGATGAGTTCCACTCAACTGATTGTTCGACGATGATCCGTAGTGTTGCAATTTGGTCTGTGCACGACCGATCCTTACGGAATCCAGCTTGTTGATCTCGAAGTTGGGCGTCTACTGCATCCTTCATCCGGTTCAGCAACACTCTGTTGAAGACTTTCCCTGGTATTGACAGTAGTGTAATGCCTCTGTAGTTTTCACATTTGCTCAGATCTCCTTTCTTTGGAATCTTGACGAGGTGTCCTTCTTTCCAGTCCATCGGCACTTGTTCCTCCTCCCAAATCTTTTTGAATAGAAGGTATAGCATGCTTGTGGTTGCTTCGATGTCTGATTTCAGTGCTTCAGCTGGTATGTTGTCGGGTCCTGCTGCTTTCCCGTTCTTGATTTGTCTGACGGCCATTCTAATTTCTTCCGTCGTTGGTGGGTTGACATCTATAGGAAGATCTATGTGTGCTGCTTCGATGTCCGGTGGATTCATTGGAGCCGGCCTATTCAGGAGTTCCTCGAAGTATTCACCCATCTGTTACGCTGTTGTTGAATTTCGGTGATTGGCTTGCCTTCTTTGTCTTTGACCGGCCTCTCTGGTTTACTGTATTTCCCTGCTAGTTTCTTCGTTGTATCGTGAAGCTGTTTCATATTTCCTTCTCTAGCAGCTTTTTCTGCCGTCGTTGCTAGTTCTTCCACGTATTTCTTCTTGTCGGCTCTAATGCTCCTCTTCACTTGTTTGTTTGCTTCTATGTATTCAGCTTGTGCTTGGACTTTCTCTGCTCGTGTTCGGCTGTTGTTAATTGCTGCCTTCTTGTTCTTCCTTTCTTTGATCTTGTCCAGTGTTTCTATAGAGATCCATTCCTTATGATGGTGTTTCTTTAGGCCCAGAACCTCTTGACACGTTGAAGTTAATGCTTCCTTGATGCCTTTCCAGTTGTCCTCCATAGTAGTTTCTTCTTCATTCAGTAGATCTTGTAAGGCTTGGAACCTGTTGTTGAGAGCTATCTTGAATTCATTGAGTTTGTCAGTATCTCGAAGGAAGGCTGTATTGAACCTTTGTAGTGCTGTTTGTCCACTTGTCCAGTTCTTTTTAGCTTCAGTTTTAAATTGGCTACAACTAGGTGGTGATCTGAAGCTACGTCAGCACCTCTCCTGGTTCTCACATCTTCCATTGTCCTTCGGAATTTTTTGTTGATGCAAATATGATCGATTTGGTTCTCTGTAGTGTGGTCCGGTGAGATCCATGTAGCCTTGTGTATACGCTTGTGTGGAAATATTGTGCCTCCTATGACCAATTTGTTGAATGCACACAAATTTGCAAATCTTTCTCCATTTTCGTTTCTTTCTCCCAGTCCATGTCGTCCCATAATATCTTCATATCCAGTGTTGTCTATTCCGACTTTGGCATTTAGATCTCCCATCAGAATAGTTAGGTCCTTTCTTGGCATTTCTCAATGATTGACTGCAGCCGCTCGTAGAACTGATCTTTAATGTCGTCGTTGCTATCATTGGTGGGTGCATAACATTGGATAATATTCATTAAGATCCCCTCCTTCTTTGTTTTGAATGATGCTTTGATGATTCTGGATCCGTGAGACTCCCATCCTACAAGTGCATTTCGTGCTACTTTGGACAGCATAAGAGCGACTCCCTGAGTGTGTGGAGCATTTCCTCTTCGTGACCGGAGTATAGCAGCATCTCTCCCGTAGCTAGCCTTTTCTGTCCAGCTTGGGTCCAGTGGGTTTCGCTGATTCCCAGTACTGCTAAGTTGTATCTCCTCATTTCCATTGCTATTTGACTGGTCTTCCCGGTTTCCCACATTGTTCGAACGTTCCATGTACCTATAAAAATTTTTGCTCTGGTTGTTAGAAGGGGCATCGGCCTCGTGGCTTCCGAAGGAACTCGGCTTTCACCATGAAGCGTCATAATTCTTCTAACTGAAGACCTTCTAACTCCCAGGGCAGAGTTTAAATGGTTTGGATTATTTTTTCTGGTAAGCGTTTTTTTAGCGAGTTAGTTTTCTACGGGATGGGGACGCTAACCCCATGCCCAACCCTCCTCCTTTATCCGGGCTTGGGACCGGCAGTAACCCTGTTAGAGCTACAGGCGGAGTTAGTGAGATAATTACAGGAAACTAAATAGCTGATTCGTCCAAGTATGGAACTCTTCAACAGTGTGCACTCACAATATCACATGAACCTTCATGTGGTTCGGTATTTAAGACTTAAACGCTCTCTGAGATAACTGAATGCCTTGTGTTCAACTCCCGACTGGATAAACGATGCCTATGGTTGAGAAGTTGTATACTAAAACGAACCAACTGTCCAGTTCCTCCTGATTTTCACTGGTTGCCTGACAAATGCCAGTTTGTTATGTAAAGCACATAATTCAGCAATGTCTATCAACCCCTTATATTCAGGATAGTAACAATGTAGAGATCTAAACAGAAACATATCTAGAATTCAATTATTAAAACTTGGTACTTGTGTACTACTACTAATTATATTTAATAACATTATTATTGTTATTAAAATCTTGTGTGTAAAGATTGATCACGCAAATTTCACTTTCGGTTATCTCATGTAGATATGAGATTATTATCAAGTGAAAAATTTTGTACTCGTTAAATTAGTGCGTTTTAAATCGATTTTTTTCGCTCGCTCACTGGCTCTTTCTCTCTCTCTCTCTCTTGTTCTTTCTATTGATTTATACATAATTGAGAGAAACTGAAAATGTGATTGATTAAAGTTAAGAAAAATAAAGCAAATGACATCAAGTGATTTTCATTTCTTTGTATAGTTATCTAACATATAATTAGCAATCAAATTGAATACAAGTTAGTAACCAAGTACATCACTCGTATATATATATATATATATATATATATATATATATATATATATATATATATATATATGCTTCGGTCATGTAACCACTGAGTCCTCTCTACTGCCATTATAACATTAGTCTAGCTGTAAAACGTTGGGTTTACAGCACGTCAGCGAGAATGGTTCCACTCATGATTTATGAAAACTTTGCTCCCTCAAGCTGATGTTATTTGGTGGATTTTTATTCAATCATCACTATCTCTAAAAGAATGCTTCCATCCGGTAATAGCACCAAGTTTATAATTCGACGTTCGGTATAGTACGTTCAGGCACAGTGGTAATGATTTAACTGATACCACTATTTTAAAATTCTTACTTCAGTGTCTTGATTATGTCTTGCAAATTTTATCCAATCAACTTCCAAATTGCATATTATTTTCTGACCAGGGACTGTTTAGAAACAAGGGAAATATGGCCAATTTATGACATAGTGGGATGGTAAGAAAGGTAACTGTATATGACTGCTACTGTCAGTTCATCATAATTCCTGAGTGTAAGTCCTAAAGATGGGGCAACTCAGTGGTTTCGGACATTATCGGATTTCTTAGAATATAATCCAATCGTGATCCTGATGTAATTCTCGCCTACATTTTATAAAAGTAAGATGATCTTTAACTGAAAGAATCCTTTCTTTGTGAACTTCAAATAAACTGTACCTATCAATAAATATTATTTCTGTTCATTTCTTCGTTGGCTATTCATCTTCTTTCCCACTTATTTCATCACAACACTAGTGATTCATTTAAGTGATCCATTTTTATTTTGGTCCCCGAAAGCATCAGAATTTATGCGCTTTAGACAAAGAAATTTCAAACTACATATTTAACCTAGCAGTTAGTTTTACTGCTAATTAGTTGTCCACTATTGTAGGATGTAGGGAACAGATCTTGAAATCATGCGTTTTGAACGGCTAAATATCGAAGGGCTTTAGACCAATAAACTATTACTTTCGCACTGTTAATGATTAAGGAAATTTATCACATCAGTATAGCGGGATTTGTAGAGATTGTAGAATTTTCATAAGTTAAATCACGAGTCACTGAAAATCTGGAAGTGCTAGGCGACTATTTCTCCCCAATATAAGACGACTCAACAGTGCGTATCCATGATCCAACGTCCGAGAATTGAATTCAGGACCTTCAATCTTGCGGGCGTGGAAGCCTAACTCCTAGACCACTAAGTGAGCGGTCCGACGGTGTACAAGTCTAACCTTAATCAATACACGAGATATCGTTGTTTTTCTACCGTTATGTGTGTTACTGTTATCCAAGATCTACTACTACAAAATTTTTCGCTTGGTAATAATTTCATATCTATATGAGATATTCGAAAGAGAAATTTACGTGACCAATTCTCACATACAAGATTTTAATAATAATAATAATAATAATAATAATAATAAATATAATTAGTAGTAGTACTGTGGTGTGTGTTACTGATGTCGACAGTTATAAGTAGTATGTATCAGCAATCGAAAGTGAAATGTTTGACGGCAGAAGGTTAAGAAGATCGAAGGAAAGAGAAAGAAAACAGAGTGATTGGTATGGTGAGGAAAGAACAATGGAGTCTGAGGTGATTGCTTGACGTTTTGCAAAAGGAACAGTCATGTTTGAGACAATTGTTTAACATTTTGCAAATGTAGATGGTTCTCAGATTTTACTAAGTGATTCTGTAATTTTGCGTTGAAATAAATTCGGTTGTCCTCACTTGTGTTCTCGTTCGCTATATTTGATGTCACTGTCAACCAGAAGGGAGGAAAGGTGTGTTCTGAGGACGCCGTTGCGGACCTGGAGCTGAGGTGCTAGAAGGTGACGTCAAGTGGAGTGGCGTTGGCTGTAGCGGGTTTTGTCGATGGAGAGGAGAAGTGGGACGTGCGGCTACTGGGTGGACATCGGATGTAGATGGCTCAGCAGGTCTCTGGAGCGCAGGCGTTTAACATCTTGGGTGCCGGGTGGAAATTCAGTTGTCCCCACTTATGTTCTCGTTCACCACAGTACACAAGTACCGAGTTTTAATGATTGAATTCTAGATATGTTTCTGTTTAGATCTCTACATTGTTACTATCCTGAATATAAGGGGTTGATAGACATTGCTGAATTATGTGCTTTACATAACAAACTGGCATTTGTCAGGCAACCAGTGAAAATCAGGAGGAACTGGACAGTTGTTTCGTTTTAGTATACAACTCCTCAACCATAGGCATCGTTTATCCAGTCGGGAGTTGAACACAAGGCATTCAGTTATCTCAGAGAGCGTTTAAGTCTTAAATACCGAATCACATGAAGGTTCATGTGATATTGTGAGTGCACACTGTTGAAGAGTTCCATACTTGGACGAATCAGCTATTTAGTTTCCTGCAATTTGTGGTGGTCGGTATCCGATATAACCCTTAACTTCGTATACTGTTCGTCTTGATAACCGTTCTATATAACGCGCCAACGTTATATTAATCAGAAGGTAAATACAAAGTGTTGATTACATTTGTTGCGAGACCACACACATATATTCAAATGTACAGATGCGTTAAACAAGCATAGAAGAGTTGTGCCGAGAGGCAAGCAAGCGAGCGAGAGCAAGAGCGAGACTAGAGGGTGTGTTTTAAATATGAATAACATGGACATATATATACCATGTGAAATGAATGAGTAATCGAATCAAATAAGCGGTTAGTAGTAAGACTAGCAGAGTGAATAAGTGCGTAGGCAGTAAGCAATATTCAAGCATACGTATTTCATGCAAGCACAAAATAATAAGGGTACAATAAGTTGTTATAGTGCGGATGACTTTGTCCGCTAAATAAGTTAGCAAAAGGCTTAACTGAGTTAAATGAGAATAAACCCATTTGCACGTGAGTCGCTATAAATTACATCACTAATATCGGTTCGTGAAGAAAATTATAAACTACTACTACCATCCAGTTGATCAAATTGAGGTGTAGTAGGTAGGATTTGAACTTGAAACGTTAATGTTCAAAGACTCGAGTGTCCTCACTACTAAGTAAGAACTTCAAATCATTATTTCAAGCTTCATTGAGAAATGTAAAGTGGATATTATTATCAATGTATTAAGAGTGCAGTGTACGACAGGATGGAAATCGGAAATTCATAAATAGTATTGTGGTGTGTGCTACTGTTGTCGAAAGATATAAGTTTTATATACCATAAGTTGAAAGTGAATTGCCTGGCGGTAGAAGATTAAGATGATCGAAGGAAAGAGAACGAAAACAGGGAATGATTAGTGTTGAAACGAAGTATCAATGAAGTCTGAGATGATTGATTAACATTTTGCAAATGAAGTGTTTACTGTATAGTTGTCAGATTTTACTAAGATGTTCTGTAATTTTGTGTTCAGATACATTCGATTATCTCTATTTGTGTTCACGTTCACTATAATATCCGGTATAAATTCTTCAATGATGGATTATGTTTTTGTATAAAACAAGATAAGACAAGAGAATCAAAGAGATTTGATGTTAATGTATAGAAAAGATCACATTTTGTTTTATAGATACAATATTGTACAAAGTAATCTATTAATAAGCCATTTACTTTTATATTAATAGTTGAGAGGATAAAACAATTGCATATAAGGCGAAATTATTTTGTGAATCAATAATAATGGTTATTATTCAGTAGTATAAACATTAGAAGTGTCCATTTGGATTGATCAATATTTTGATCATGAATATACACACTAATTTTGAGGAGAATATTGGATAATACTACTTGATGCAAACAATGAACTTTCGAAATATGCTCTGTTCACAAAATGTCTTAATCATCTTACTGATTGTAGATAGATTTCATTCTGTCATAGAAATTAATTGAATAGGAGTTGCAAACTATTATTTTTGCAACCAATGGTTCACATTTACTAAATTACTCTAGAAAGGAAATTGATGTGTAATAGGTAGAAGAGATTATCATTATTAATTCATTTACCATGTACAGAATCGTGTATTTGGCTTCAAACCATACTTTAATTATAAGAACTAGTGATATACCAATACGCGGTTATCCTAGCCATAGTGAAGATGGAGTGGGTTCGAGTTTGCAGATTATGTCGAATACCTTAACCATTAGGCTTACTACTCCTTAACCGCGATTCACCTCATAGAGGTAAGAGATTATCGATAAAATACTTCAATTCAATTCACTTTTGTATTTTCAATTTTTATTACTTTTCTTTTTTGTTTAAAGGTAACACTGCATTACATGATTGTACAGAAAGTGGCAATTTAAAATGTTTACAATTATTATTAAATCATCGAGCTATTATGCGTAAAGATGAATATGGTCAATTACCAATTATGTCTGGTGCAAATGCAGCTTACAAAAAGGTTAGTTTGTTACTGGTTAAGAAAAGATTTTCAATGAAATATGAATGTTACATTAGATCACATATGACCATGATAAAGTGAAATAATATATCACTTTTGAAATTTATTTATTTATTTTAACACATAGATATTGGTACAAGGAGGCACCAGACACATTTGTGCCACACAGATCTCATTTGATATGTGTGAGGGCTGTGATACTGCCCGGGTGTCCAGACCGGAGCAGGTGGTTTTCTTAGGGGACCACACCCAGAGCCTTCGACCTTAAGGTCTGACCCACAAAGCAGTGGAGCATCGTGAGGGTATGCAGTCTCATGGTAGCCGGTGACCAACGATTGGTTCATACGCCCTTTGTTCCTTCAGGGTACTGGAGCCCATGTGTACCATTGGTTTGGAATCCGGTTAAAGCGCCGAACATTCGCTTTTCGTCCTCTCAATTTCGTAAACAACACCCCCGCCACGAGAAGGTAGTGAGTAGGACTTCCCTGACAGAGGTTATATACGCATGGCCATGTGAGAGCATTTCGAGAGGAAGGGCGGGCCCACCCCACTCTCGACCATACCAGGGCATTTGGGGGGGGTCAAAGATCATACTCACAAGTGATATTGTCTATCTATATTGGATATATTTTGTTGTTTGTTTGTTAAGTTTTTATCATTGCTTGTGATTGGCCTTCGGGTATTTGTTATATGATTACGGGGAATGATTCTTAGTATGTTGTCGAATTTCCAGTGTGTATAGTTCGTTATGCAAAGATTTCAGAGGTAATGCGCTTTATTCATTTTTAGTAGGTTACTTTTTAAGGTTGTCTACATCTGTCTGTGAGTTAAGGATAGTTGTTTTTATGATCTGTAAGCAGCGATTTTGAATGAGTACATCTAGAATATGAAATATTTTAAAGGGATTTTAAACAGATAGGAAAAGAAGTACTGGCTCTTTCACTATCATTCATCTTACTGATGAATTACTAAACTTTATTGACAATCTTCGAGTTTATGTACCCTCCCCCCAGAACCCTAATTCAATCGACTATAGCACCAATAGCACTTTTATTTTATTAATTTGAAATATACTATCGGCAAACACAAGATTACAGTTATGCTACTAGTTTTATTGGGACGATATAGAGATGGTAAATCAATCCACTCGAAGAACTTAACTTCTGAGATAGTTTGGACAAAAAAATGTGTAGCCATAAATAGAGGGATTATTTCGAAAGTGATAATGAGATTAATAGTCCTTAGGTTCTGTAGAATTAAATTTTTACAACTTCATTTCGTGTAGCTATTGGAAAGAGTTGTATATATGGTAATACTGTTTGATAATCGTGTTAAGTACACACACTATGCGGAACATGTCAGGGTTGAAGTCTCTCTGTTCATTTGAAAACTTCATTTGGGATTTGCAGGCCTTGTTTTTCACAGATTAGTTTCTATTGAGATACCATTGGAAACTTAGGAGAACTCGAAAATTGTTTCGTCATAGTATTGTACTCATTAATATTGAACACAACCGCGCCAGGTATCAAACCTATAACCTTAAGGTCTTGCGACTAACGTTTAACCATTAAAACCACTTGGTCAGCGTCCAATGGTACAACTTCATCTTCAGTCAATTTCCGATATGGCGCAATATTCATTTAATACCACTGATGAAAACTATTTAAACAGTCGAATTCATGAGTTGATCTAAGCTAGACCACCATTCAAAATCCGGAAGCACTAGATGGCCATTTTGTCCCAGAATGGGACTCCTCAGGAGCTGGCATCCATGATCCCTCACATGCTCGAACCCCAAACCTTCGGCCTTGTCAGACAATGGATGAAGGGTTGTGCAAAGTCATGGATCGATTGAAGCTAGGCATTAACACCGTTAGATGCCGGCTCATCGGTCTAGAGATTAAGCATTCGTGCACGAGAACGAAGGTTTCGGGGTCCGAGTTCCTTGTGGGGGGTCGTGGATGCGCTCTGCTAAGGAGTTCAATAATAGGACGAAGTGGCTATTCAGTGCTTCCAGGTTTTCAATGATGGTATAGCTTAGATCGACTCATGAATTCCACTGTTAAATTTACTACAATCTCTACAAATCCCCATACTGATAAAACTATTTCACTCTCGATATTTTTAAACTCTATCAGTTAAGACTTCATAGTTGAACTTTAGGAACATCTTAAAGTAAGCCATTAGGTGAGCTGATCCTTTTAACTAAGTTGAGTAATATACATAGATTACTGAGCGACAGATTTACATATTTTGTTGTTAACTTTCGTGTTATTCAATGCAATGTTATATATCTGTACACCGGACATAATTTTTTATACTGATTTTTCTTTAAAATTGTTTCATTATATTATATATTTAGAATTATGGTTTATTGTTTATATAGATTGATCAGATTTTCATTCACTGATTTTATAAGTTCAAATCTTTCCTTCAATATTATCAGTTCTTACATAATGCTGTGAAGTGTATGTGTTTATGCATGGATTATAAAGGATAATTAAAAAGATTACAAATTTAATTCAAGTTCATACTCGTTTTACAAATAAGAGTAATTAGCTGAGTTTATCAGTTAAGTGAATAAGACGTTGATATTTAACGAGAAACGTATTAGATTGAAATCCTAAAGTGATTAACATCACTGAGATGTGATAGATATATATCCAGTTAAGGATAAGTTGTAAATAGAGTAAAATATGCTTACATCCTAAATTCCATTACTAACCATCAATTCATCTTATTTATTTACTTGAACATATAAATATTGGTACAAAGGGGTACCGAATACATATGCACACCACACAAGTCACTTGATTTGTGTGGGATGGGATACTTCCCTGGTGCCCAGACCAAAACAGATGGTTTTCTTAAAGGGCTACACCTGCAGCCTTTGACTTAGAGGTCTAATCCACAAAGCAGTGGAGCATCGTAAGGAGATGCAGTCCCATGGTAGCCGGTGACCAACAATAGGTTCATAGGCCATTTGTTCCTTCAGGATATTGGGGCCCATATGCACCATTGGTTCGTAATCAGGATTTTCCAACTCTCTTAGGTGAACTCTACATGTCCACCAACCCGATTAAAGCGCCGGATATTCGCTTTCCGTCCTCTCAGTTTCGTAAACAACACCCATGGTGCGAGAAGGCAGTGAGTAGGACTTCCTTAGCAGTGTTTGTATAAGCGTAACCATGTGAGAGCATTTCGAGAGGGAGAGGTAACTTTCCCCACTTTCGACTGTACTAATTCATTTATTCTATGTAAATGCTAATAATGATTATCAAACTATGTTCGATAAATATATGATGACATAATTTGTAACTTATATAGCTAATTAACAAATCATAATGATACTCATTAAGTATATTTTCTTTCTTTTGTTGTTGTTGAATTTTCGGTTTCATTTAATCTGTAAACAATTTTAAAATATATATTCAATAAAATATAAACTCTTATAGATTGTAGATTATTTGGCTACTGTTGAAATTCCTGATTCAACACAAACAATAAGTGTTAGTGAAAAAGCTGCTGCATATGATTTACTTGGTGCTAGTCTATTCGATCGACATTCTTTAATTCAAGACGCTATAGCTGCTTGGTATCATGCAATAAATTTACGCCAAGAGTTGTCTACTTATAATAATAATAATAGTAATAATAGTAGTGGTAATAATAAATTTATTCCACATCCAGTACCACAATGCTCTTGTATGAATGAATTAATGTCGTGTGTTGAAGGACAACCAACAATGACAACCACTACCACCACCACAACAACAACTACTACTACTTCAACTACTAATTCATCAAATAATTGTTGGTCATTGATTTCATTAGCTGCACGTGAAGCAATTGGAATGGCTGAAACTAGTCGATTTGATGAACAACATTATTCGTTAACATCTAATTGGCAACGTCATAAAAGATCTACAAGAATTCATGACATTTTATTTAAAAGTTATAATTCACAAAATTTCATCATCATAATTCAATTCATCAATCAACTATACGACAAAAGTCTACAACGAAATATTCACAAGATTTACATGAATTATTTCAAAGAAAATATGAAAAATTACAAACTGATTTACAAAATGCTTATCAATGTAAATTTGAACATTTAGGTCATTCATTGTATCGTTCGAATTCATTAAAAAGATTATACTGTTGATGTACAATCACCACCGTTTTGTTCAGTGTTTCTTCAAGGTTCGCATAGTTCACGTTTAGGTTTACGTCGTAATGGTTCTAGTGAGTATTTTGATCAGTCTTCTCCTACCAATTCAATATTATCACAAGGTGTTTGTAGATCATCACCATCACCAACGAATTCTTTGAATTTTGGAATATCCTCATCCTCCTCTCCACCACCTTTATCAACAACAGGACATCATACTGGCAGTTGTGCTGGTGGTGTTTTCGTCCAATCTGTTATACCCGTCGATCCTATTCTAGGCTTTGAACCGAAATGTTGTCAAATTGCACGATATCGTCGATGGCTTCTGGAGCCTGTTCATCAAAATTATCAAGTCAGATCGTCGACAACATCTGAACATAATAACACTAGTAACATATTGCATAATAATACAGAGGATTTCACTCCATCCAAAATCATAAATCAATGTCCTAATTGTAAACAAATACTTGTTTCAATGAATAATTTAAGTGAGGAAAGTCTACTTTCAAATCAATCCACCTGTCCCATTTGTAAGACATCACTAGTAGTAAATCATTCTTGTAAGTTACATATCATTTGCTTCCTTTTACTATGTTTTTTCTCGTATAACTTGTAATCCTGCTCCACCAATGTACAGAGGACTGTGCTTGGTTTAAACTCAAGTTTAGTGATTCTGCCCGGTTTCTTAAAATGAAGTGGTGAGGAATCTGAATCACTGAACCACCACTTCGTACATTTGCCATTTAATGTATTATCTTTTGCCTAGAAAAGCATATTACATGACAGATGTATATATATATGTGCTAAATTAAGACTTGGTTATTTTTCGACACAATACACTAATCGGTTAATGATATTGTGGAATGATACAATATGATAGAGTATAAACTACTCACGAGATTAGCTTATCAACGCACGCTCCAAAATTGAACTGAACATCTGAATACAAGTTAGCATCTGCCCAATAGAGTAGACTTTTCACTGTAATAAAAAACACGCTTATGCATAAAATATTAACAGAAAAATATAAACGTAATTAAATGTTACAGATGAGTGTACAAAATCCGTCATGATAGAGCAGTGGGAAGACGGAGTCGAGTTGAAAAAGTATGGTGTATTTGCGTTATACGTTCCGAACGATCTGGTAACACTTGTCAATCTGTTTATGTCTAAGAAAATGATGATCAATTCAATAAAAGATCGATTAAACCTAAATTGATAATCATAAACAAAGACGTGAAGAATGGAAAATTGTCACATTAATTTATCCTGTAAACTGGTTTAAAGATTGTCAGGGCAGATTCAAGGTTACAATATGTTGTTTCTGTGTGCATAAAGGGGGTTTGGATTTTCTAATAACCAAGGCTTCTACAAACTTGAAAATTCGTCCTTGAAAATTAGTATACAACGTTTTTAAAAAAGAAACTATTGATGTCAATTCTATACCCCGTTTTATATCGATGAATGATGCTTTCTACTTTCTACGTTTATCGAAGCGTTTAACACTAACTGATTTTAAAGTAATGTAAGCACGTGTTCCTATAACCCTTGATTGAATTGTTCGATCATTCCTTCCTATGTATATATGTCCACCCGAACCTGTGGAATGTGATGAAAACGTTTGGTGAATGTCTAGACCTATAGTGGATAATAAATTTGGTTTTTTTTTCGATTACAATCAGTTTTGCTGTGTAGAATATTTTCTCAATGGTTATTCTTGGTCTCTGTCTCAAAATCATGCTGTTTGATTGATTCTCTTATAACATCTGTTTGGTTGATCACTCTCTTATTCACTGAACTATGTGGTCTTATCCATTGTGTTAGTCTAGTTCATTTTATATATCGATCTATTATTCTTTATAGCAAAGATTAAACTGGTTTTTTAAACATGAAAAAAACTAAACAGTGTGGTATTAATAATAATAAGTCACACGTTTATGACATGGTAGAAAGTCATACATATTTAGTAATAAACTGCATTAATAAATTAATCTGAAATTCTTCTTATGAGTCTGTAATTATTAGGTTACTGTAAACGTTGTATTTTGACGTTAGAGAGAGTTTGAATACTTCAATACTAATGTGATCGATTTTGAATCATTATTGTCTGATGTTATTAACCATCATCACCATCATCATTATCTCGTAGACTTGGATCTTATCACCTAACGTTTTCACCCATAGATTACACACTTATTTCAAATCTCCAACCTGAAAGCTTTCATATTTAAACACATATCCTGTTTAACAATAGACTAATTTGTCATTTATGTCTAACTTTTTTTCTATTGCTTCTTCTCTTAGTTTCAATATTAGGGATAACATAGGAATCCAAGGTTAAAATTGACAAAATATGGTGTAAGAATTGTCATGACTCTTTTGATCAATAAAAATTCATAGCGCCATCAATCAATTTATCATTTTGATTTCATACTTTCTACCTAACCTCATTATTATTCATTGAGTAAATAGTATCATAATTATCTAGTCCATGTTTAATGGACATCACTGGATGTGTTGTTTATTTTTGTATTATGCAACATTACTATTATTATTATTATTATTATTATTATTATTATTATTATTGTTATTATTATTATTACGATTAACATTAACTTATGATATTCGTAGCATTTATCTTGTATTATATGCGTATAACATGAGTAGTTAGTTTAGCTATTCTTGTAAGTAGTAAATTTTCTGGTTTGCTTGATCCCCAATATACTCCGGATATCGCCGAAAGTGAAAAGAGTTCAATATTTCCTTTTTAAAGTACTCTCATATGATTAAGTGTATATAGCCTACTGTTAGAGAAGTTCTACTTATTACCTTTTCATGGCAGTAATTGTTATCTTATACAACATAAGTGTATATCTCATAAAACGATGAATAATACATGAAAAGCAACATATTTGATAAACAAATTACATCACATGAATTTCATAATAATTTAATCAAATAATATTTTTCATATTTTATAAAATTTAGTTGCCAAATTTACCTACCTAACTACTTACCTACCTACCTACCCACTACCTACCTACCTACCTACCTACCTACCCACGTACATACATACATACGTACTTACGTATACACGTACGTACATATGCTATTTCATCATTCTTGATATCATAATCATTGTTTTGCTTCTCTCGTTTTCATATTTTAGCGAATTCTTCAAATGAAAATCAAACAGTCCATTCAACAAATCAGTATTCTAAAGTATCTTATCCTTACGAATCAAATAATAATGATAATAATCATAATTATTATAATAATGTAAGTGTTGTTATTTGTGTTCAATAAATATATTCAATAATAATATCAGTTAAACGGTGGTTTAATGATTTAAATAATAATTGACTGATATTTATTCAGGTTACAAGTTCGAGCCCCGCTTTAATTACTTCAATTTTGAAACAGTTCGATAACATCACCATACCTGTTTGATGCATATATATATTCTGTTACTGTTAGATATCAAAAGAGTATCTGACATAAAAACAAAAGCAACATGATGATAAGAAATTAAACAACAAGAAGGAAGTACAATAAAATAATAAATAAATGAGATTAGTGTATAATCGGTGGAGGAGATACAATTCAATCATGATTCCAACCGGTATATCATAATGGGTTGATAGTCGTCGATCATAACTTGAAAGTATAAAAATATAGTACTTATAAGTTTGTACTTTGTTGCTGAATTATACAGTCACTTAACTTTTGTGCATTGAATGGCTACCAACTTCTATGCACACCCTATCTAAGTGAGTTCTATGTTGGTTACTATTTGCTGCCATTTAGACTAGTTAGATGTTGAAAGATCATTAGTTCATTTGGGATAGGGTCGTGAAATATAGGATAGGTGGGTTAGACTAGCATCTTTTATTTTACACCTCAAACTGTTGAACCTAAAAATGAACATTTTTATTGAAGATAATCCAGATAACCTAGTTGGTTACTATTATCTAAGCTACTGAAATGCTGTAAACGGGTAGAATATACTACTGACAGTCAATCAGCAACCGTCTCTATCCTTTAGGTTTGACTGTTGAACTTAGACTCAAACGTATTTCATAAAACCTTAAGGATTATCAGGGCAAAAAGTAAGATTATATTTCTGTATCGGTTATTAACTACCTGGAAAGTGACAACCGCCTTTATTAACTTATTCACCGTGTTTTTGTTCGATTATCTTTTAACAGAATGAAAACAATCTTAAATATGTTTGTCCAGTATGTCATTTTGCCACTGAAAATCATCCGTTAATTCGTCGATTAAAACAATGTGGTGAAGAAGCTTTTGGACATGTTTGTGAATTTCAAACACGTGAAGATCTAGCCAGTTTAATGTCAAATACACATGTTCTACGCTTACAATCATTGCTTATACGCTTACGTATATTAGGTCCAGATCATCCAGATACCATTTATTTTATCCGGTAATTAAAGTGTTTTATTTTACATAAATTTGTTGTTTTTACCGCATACATTAGTGCCGGAGGGTTGGTGAAAATCAAGGGGTTGATGTTTTGTCTTAGTTTTTTCGAGATTCTCTAAATAACGTGCACGACACCGACTACACAAGCTATCGAGCTTAGGATATTTAAATCTTCTAAGGTGCATATTAAGTTTTATTGTAGCACCAACACAGATGATATAGTTCTATTTGATGAACATCCTGAAAAAATTCAGAGTCTTCTGACCACCTTGTTCATCATGTTCAGAATGCGATTCTCTACTTCCAAATGCAAGATATTGCTTTAGAAATGGCCTGTATCAGTGCCTAAATTAATAAACGACAGTAACGTAGTTGAGGGTGTCAAACACTTCTTTTGGAGGTCTCATCAGTCCTAGTGAGTTGATGACTGACGAAATTTAGACAGGAATTCAAAAATCCCATTTGGTTCTTGCCAATTTATGTTAACTGTGGTGTAGGTGACATACTCGCTCGCCAGCCAAAGGACGAGTTTCTTGTACAGCAGTTCACTCTGTCCTAATTGATAAGTGTGAAACATGATCTTTGAAAGTAGAAGATATTTGTTAGTCACTAGTATTCCACCATCTTTGAAGCATTGCTCGTCAACTTTGGGATCGCAGTGTAAGGAATGCCTGGGTTAGGAATGGCTCTCCAGGTAAAGATGGTAAATTGATTGATGAGATAGTAATTCTTCACTAACTGAAGTGGTTTGGATATGTGATGCGTATACTCCACCACCACCTACTTCTATGTGTTGTCTGGTATGGGAGTAGTCTGGAAGAAGGTTGGGGGCGGCCAAGCCAAAACATGGCAGCCGCCGACGAGGACATTGACAACTGGGCTGAGCCATATTAATAGGTGTAGACTACCGGGGCTAGGGTCTTCGTGATTATCGAACCAGTAAGACTGATATTTTGGCTGAATACCAATTAGTTTGAACCACTAATCAACCACGTCAATGGGTTGGACTTTCAAATCCCTTGCCATTGAATCTCATATCTAATTACTACATTGTAAAGAAAGCATAAATAAATGTTATTACTTTTAATGGAACATTGTTTTTCTTCTCATGATTCATTTATATTTTAATACATTATAATAAGTTTTAGGGTACTGTGAAGATAAAGTTTCACATCAACAACTGTCATTATTTATTTATTTGAACACATAGACACTGGTGCAATGGGGCACCAAATACATATTCACCACATATCAACAACCGTTATTCATCAAGTCAGGAGACATGAAACTTCTGAACTGTGGATGAGGATTGTTGTGGAGTTTCATAATAAGTCGAAACATCTATCCAGTAATTTCTAGCATTCCATAGTTGTCAAAATAAATTAAGTCGTCGATTTGAGATTACAAACAATAAGTAGTTTTCCAAAAGATTATTTCACACTTCTACACGCGTCTACAACTGCATAGAAACAAATATGTCTACCATCATAATAGTAATTTGCACCACAACTCATCTGACATAACCAAGATACCGAAGCACGCCCCGAGGGGTGTTATGTACGAAATTGAGAACACGAAAAGCAAATGTCCGGTGATTTAACAGGTTTGGTGGATATAGAAGATCCACCTGAGTTGGAAAACCCTGATTCCAAACCAATGGTGTACATAGACTCCAGGATCCTTATGGAACGAATGGCATATGAACCAATCGTTTTTTACCGGCTACCATGGGACTGGATCTTCAAGTGTTACTCCAGTGCTTCGTGGAGTAGACCTTTAGGTCAACGGCTCCGGATGTGTCGCCCTAAGAAAACCACCTGCTTTGATTTGGACACTCGGTCAGAATTCCAGCCCTCACACAAATCGAATGAATTTTGTGGTACATATCTATTTGGTGCCTCCTTGTATCAATGTTTATGCGTGTAAATAAATAAATAATGATACTGTTGATCTTAACCATTAGTCTTTTGTATTTTTCCCTTTTCTTTTATAGTTATCGTGGAGCAATTTATGCAGATGCAGATAATTTTCATCAATGTTTAAGTTTATGGCGTTATGCATTAGAATTACAACGTACATTTGTTGAACCATTATGTCATGTATCACAAGCTGCATTTGTTAGTTTTGCTGAATTATTTCATTTTGTATTAACAAATAATTGTATTGGTTTACCAGCAAAAGATTTAGATCCAACATTAATTGTAGATTGTTTAGAATTAGCTGTTGATAATATTGAACGGTAAGTAACTTTTAATGATTATTATCCATTTTTCTATATAATCTCTTTACTTACTTACGCCTGTTACTCCTCGTGAAAGAGCATAGGCCGCTCACCAGCATTCTCTATCCAACCCTGTCCTGGGCAATCCTTTCTAGCTCCTTCCAGTTGTTATTCATCCTTTTCATATCTGCTTCTATTTCCCAACGTAATGTGTTATTTGGCCTTCTCCTTTTCCGCTTCCCTTCAGGATTCCAAGTTAAGGCTTGTCTCGTGATGTAGTTTGACGATTTGCGTAATGTATGTCCTATCCATTTCCATCGTCTTTTCCTAATTTCTTCTTCAGCTGGAAGTTGGTTTGTTCTCTCCCACAGAAGGCTGTTGCTGATGGTATCCGGCCAATGGATGTTGAGTATCCTGCGTAGACAACTATTTATAAATACTTGTACATGTTTGATGATGGTTGTTGTAGTTCTCCAAGTTTCAGCTCCATACAGTAGAACTGCCTTGACGTTCGTATTTAAGATTATGACTTTGATATTGGTTGAAAGTTGTTTTGAGTTCCATATGTTCTTCAATTTTAGGAATGCGGCCCTTGCTTTGCCAATCTCTTACTAATTGAATTATGATATATATTGGGTGATATTCTGATTGTAGTGCAAAATACTCTTAGGCACTTGGAATATATAACGATAGTGTTCTCTTCTGGAGAGATTAATACTTATGTTCTTGTGAACATTAAAATATAACTATCTTATTTTAGTCCTAAGTGAAAAAGTTAAATAATAAAAGCTGATTCGATAATATTTCCTGTAGCTATAAACTGTAATTCTAATAGTCATAGTTTAGAGTTTAGATGTTAACGTTAATTATTAAAATGGTCTATCTCTGGCGTTTTTTTTAATGATTGTGATGACTTTCTGGTTAAGGAACTGTCTGAGTTGTTTACAAAGAATTGGCGATTGGAGAGTGTTCTAACATCATGGAATGATTCTATGGCTGTTCTTATCTATAAAAAGGGTTCACGTCGTTTCTGTAACAACTATCCGGAAATAAGTCTACTTCCGATTGAGTCTAAACTATTGGTTTCCGTCATGCTTCGTAGCTTGTTCAAAACCCGAGAAAGATTGACTCGCTTGGAGCAGGCTGGTTCGCTATTGTGTGTTCGAGCACAGTGACGATAATTCAATTAGTGTCGCTTTGTTACCACAGAGCGGATAGACAAAGTGGAAAAAACATACTTATCATCAGCTATAAGTTTCTGTTTGTATTTTACAGTATTCAGTATGTTGTGTTTTCTAAAAGCATCTCAGCAAATAATACGAATCTTATACATTATTGATTAGGTAAAAGTAAATGGGACATTTATAAAAATCCTTATATTCGTGGTATTGTTTACCATAAATTTCTTCTTGAAGGATAACCAATGAATTCTTTCTTTTATCGTGATAGATAAGAAGGTTTTCAAGCACTTGAACTATCATATGTAATGACACTGGCCACTAATGAATTATGAATATTCAACAGGGTTTGTCTACGAGTTTCTTGCTAGCAATCTTATGAGTACTCGAGAGCACCAGTTTCCCCAATCACCAAACCTGTCTTCTTGAGATTTATTTTTATCTTCTAAATATAGATAGACTATATAGGTGGAAAGCGGCGGCACTAGCACAGTTCGAAAACGATAAATAACGGCAACGATTGGAAGGGTTCTGAAGAACTTGATTTCCTGCATGTTTTAAACAATAAAAACTAATGAAACAAATATATGTGTATATATACATATTACCATAACTGGGGTTTGGGGCGTAGTCAAAATAGGAGATAATGCTGTATTTGAAGAGATTACGAGTTCACCTAATATGAGAACGGATTGAAGACTCTGTCACACAATGACAGCTAAGCTAGCTATTCCGACGCGTCCCAGCCCCGCTAACTAGAGAGAGAAGTCCGAGTTCAGAAGAGGGAAATATATTCCACAAGTAGCCAGAAGCACGAGCAATAACAACAAAGCACAAATCAAGTCTATATATACAATATAAAAATATCATTGGGAAGCGTTACAAAATAGCATATCAAAAGTGACGACGAACCAATAACACTTAAGGTCCTCCCAAATGCGAAACAAAAGTGAGAATTGAAGCTTTTAGCGCGAACACAAGAAATTCAGATTTTTAAAATAGAATTACAAAAATAAAGTATTTGTCAAGTGAGTTCTGAGGATCTAACATCCCCAACAGATAACATATTGATAACTCTGAAAATTTTGTAGCTTTTACAATCTTGATCTGTATATTTATTGGACAGAGTAGTATGTGTAGTGGTATACATTTTCTTCTTTTTTTTCTTTCTTTCTAATGATTAACAATAGTGGAATGGATTATTCATTTTATCATTGGCATCATCGACATCCATGGTCATATACAGCAGCGGATAAAGAAGCGATTAATTTAATGCGTCATGTATCATTATGTTTACATTTTATAGCAATGATTCTTATTCATTATATGCCAAATTGTAAAGCTTTACCAACCATACGTTCTATTCGACGTCAATTATCTAATTTAACACAAGTAGTTGAAGAAAATTTCAATGAATTATTACAAAATTCTACATTGAATTTATCAAATATTATGCTTAATCGACAAGAGCTAATTAGTAATAATAATAATAGTAGTGCTGAAAATGAATCACAAACAGATAGTTTATCTAATGATATGAAAAAACGTATGCCAATTGAATTGAAACAACGATTTTTCCGTCAAGTAAGTTAATTACCTCTCTATATAATGAAAATCACTTTATTATCTTTAAAAGATGATAAATTAGTTGATGGTACTATAAATGTGGTGATAGGACTTGTCATGTAACGTTAGCTGGCGTAGAAATAAAGCGTGAAGAAATTTGGAAGGTGTTCAAACCAAGATTGAGCATCAATCGATGATTATGAATACAGTGGTCTTGAGTGCTGTTAGAGGTATGAGGGCGGTTATCACTCCTCGGTTGCCCACACCATAGAAGGGTTCTTGTGGACGTACCTGAAAAGGAAATTGGATTAGAGGGTGGCATCTTAGTGACCTGAGAGCGTGGCCGTAGTGCTCAAGGGACAACTGCTTGAGGTCGGTCACACACGACCTTTTTATGGGTAATTTTTGTGTTAGCTCCGTACTTGTTGAGACCTTATCGCCGGAGACGGATATCCGTGGGGTAAGGCGAGGTATGCATTTTTAGGGTCGACCTTTTCTAACCCCACTTCTCCTTGTGGGAAGGCAGCATCGCTGTCATGCTGGTAGTCTGGAGGAAACACCTTACTGCTGTCACACCTCTGTACAGTCAGCAATACAACTTCGCCTTCGGACCTTGGGTTTGTTGCTTTTGTTCTTACCGCTCTTCAACTGACTTGTCTGACATGGTAGGACTTTAAGGAACGGTTGTTCCAGCCAATATAGCTCGGTTGTTTGATCAAGATAGGCGAACCGGACCACCACGTCAAGGTAACAACAACGGTCTTCCCTTAAACTAAGAGATTAAAATTGCTTCGTATCTTTCTTTCTACGAAAGAATTCTTTCTTCCTGTACTATATCCTTACATGCAATTTTTCTTTTATATATTACCACCTTTGAATAAACTACTTTTATGAATCTGGTGTTCATCTTGTTGTGTTAATGAGGTATGGCAAGTTGGACCGATGCATATATGTGCCTGGTCCTACGTTGTAGCTAACTGACTGACTGACTGATCAATCGATGAATTGAATAATTATTCGTCTTATTCATGATGGTATTTGTACATTATCTGTTTGCAGTCTACCGTGATAATCATGATCAATGATTGATTGATATGGCTCGAAGTTGGTCACTGTAATCTAGATATATTCAGCATATATCTTTCATTAGATTCGGAATACTGATATCATTTTATATTTCTTATTTCCTTTTTGAGCACAGTCGGATTGTAGTGGTTAACAGTTTCGGTGTTTAGAGCGAAAGAAACAGGGTTCAAGTCTCAATCTGAACATTAATACTGGGATTTAGTAAATACATCCATCTGAAGAGTCTCGAACTGAAAAAAAAACTCACGCTTCTTAGATTCCACTGTTAACCACTCTATAAAATTTACTTACAAACACTTATGACTAATGTCGAAATCGAGACTGATCAATTGTAGTCCTTAACACAAACAACGGAGATATTCGTAAACTTACATTTGAAATATTTCTTATCACCTTATCTCGTCTGTTCTTTTCTATCTTTTATCCTTAATGCTTAATTTAATTATCAGTCTCAATGACACAGATGCAGTCGCTCTTCTTTCACTTCGTGCATTCTAGTTTCAAAGTTATTTTATATCTTGAATCCATCCTTCTCGATTCATCTCCTTTTTTATTCCTACTTCTACAACGTTGGTACTTATTTTGATAATGTCTTATCTCTGTGCTGATGTATCGTTTCACTGTGAGTTTATCGCTAGGTTTTATATTGGCCGATGACTGACTTCCACTTTCAAATGATGTTTTTTGTCTGTCACGTCAGTCTATAATATTTTTTCCGTTGATTAAATTAACGATTTCCACAGTTAATGAACCTAATGGTAGTCATAATATACCCATTGTCTATATAGTATTATAAGATTAAAAATATACGGACCATAAAGGATGTCATTAATTTATCACTTCATTGACTACTGAACTAAGCCGTAATTAGGAATTGAAATTTTTCTGATTATGGTCAATCAGTCAAACGCTACGTAGAACCTGGGACATGTTAACATCGCCTCAAGTTGCCATAACTCATTAGCATAGGAGAGATCAAATTGTCTGCGCAAATCATTGAGTAGTAGAAGTTGTAAAAAGATTAACAGTAACAGAAACGATTGTGCACCGGAGATACAATTCTAGAAGGAAATATAAATTAAATAGAAAATAGAAAAAAAACTTGTAGGTAAGTGAGAAGCTAAGAATCTGAGGGAAGAAAAAAAGTAAAAAGAACCAATGTCATTGTAAACGATTTTGATTCACGTCATTCAAAGTCTTTGGCCATTGGTTACGATGATCACGTGGACTGTAACCAGGTAGTCTTCACTTGCTAACACGACTTAACATTTAATGTCTTCATGTCTTTGTTTGTCCACGCATAGCTCTCTTCCAACCTACATATACACCAGCCATCATCAGGCTTGTAGGTAGATGGTGAGTGAGCATATGTCATATTTATCCCAAGTATCTCGGTCAATAAAGACCCGCCACCTCGTCATTTAGTTTACCACCCTTATTACTCTGCGTCTAACCTCAGATTCTCCAACTCAGTGGTACCAACATGTACTAGCACTTCTTGGAAGATTAATATGATGGAATGCTAGTAACCTACGAATATTCTCATACCCATAAAATAGAATGGAGTGCACTACTGTACAGGACACTCTCGTCTTTTGATTGGGAAACAGGTATCTTGCCTACTCAACAAGTAATGTAAGTTGGCGAATGCCAACCGGACTTTTAATTATAGTGGAATATAAGTTTTCACAATCTATTGATATATAGAAGACCTCAACTAACGTAGTTCAAAATCGGTTACATATGTATGATCTTCTAAACTCTAGGTTATTTAAATCATAATATATTAAATATGAGGTATCGGACTATTAGACCTGATGATGTAAAGTGCAGACAATATTATACAAAATTTATTTTTCTGATTGTTTTGTTGACACTCGATATATAATACGAAACTACAATAAATAATCGACTGGGTACATTAAGTAATACCTCTTGGTAATTAGATCACTAGATAATAGTTCACCTGATAGACAGACGAAATTCCGACTAATTATTAAAAACTAGATAATATGAATAGACATTGACGTTTATGAGCGTAAATGAAAAGTATAGTATAATGAAATCATTAGTTGAAAGGAATTTACAATACTATGTAATTTATTTATTTGAACACATACATTTTGGTACAAGAGGGTACCAAATATATATGCACCACACAAAACAATGAGAATTTAAAGAGAAAAAAACAACAATAACGAACAGATTAGTGTAAGGTAGTGTAATAATTAATAATAGTAGTAATAGTAATAATGGGGGAACAGAAAGGTACAACCAGAAGAAATCTTTCCGTTAAGGAAGATACAACCACTTTTTTTATAAAGAAAGTAAAAGAAGGTTACAGCAGGATCGCCACTGGCTTCTATTCTGGGCCATATCTGATAATGTCTCTAGCCACTGTGTTGCACCATCTCTCGGACCCCAACCAGGGAGTCGTGAAGGACCAACAGAAGCCAGTCCTTTGCAACTTTCTTTCATGCCACGACACCATGTCATGCACTGACCACCTCTCCGCTTTTTCCAACCAGTCCCACAGTCGGCGAATAACGCACGATGTGGAATTCTCTGGGACGACATTCGGAGAACATGTCCAAGCCACCGAAGTTGATGTTTCAAGATGGTGACACCAACTGGATTATCGTCTCTGTGCCCGAACACACGATGCCGAACCTCTGCATTACTGACATGGTGTTGCCACTGAATGTCAGCAATCCTTCGGAGACAACGATGATCGAACACAGAGAGTCGTCTAACATCCTCAACTCGGAGAGACCAGGTTACACAAGCATAGAGTAGAACTGCTCTCACCGACGCGTTGTAGATCCGACCTTTTACAGCCAGACTAACATCACGAAGGCGCCAAAGATGGCCCAGATTGGCATAAGCCGCTCTGGCTTTCACTATACGTGCATTGATCTCATCACTCACGTCAGCACCAGCACTTATGCAGCTACCCAGATACACGAACTTTTCGACTACTTCTATCTGCTCACCATCCAGGGTGAGTACAGGATTAGAATGCTGTTAGTCTTGTAGAAGTACTTTGCACTTCGAAGGTGCAAAGCACATACCAAACCTACGGACACTGATTGCCAACTGATTAAGTGCGGATTGCATGGCTTGGGCATTATCGCACAGTAAGACAATATCGTCCGCATACTCAAGGTCGAGAAGTCTTTCTCCAGGCAACAGATCCACACCACCATTACTTACATTCATCAGAGCTGTTTTTTCTAGAATGTCATCGATGGCAAAGTTGAAGAGGAATGATGTGATTGGGCAATCCCAGCAAGACCAGACGGAAGATGCCACAGGGTCGTCGGATAAACGCACGTAAAACAAGCTTTTTGAAGCGACAGATGGACAGCGAATTTGTAGTACTTCACCAGAGTATTCAATACGGATCTCGGATAGACATTGCAAAGACATAGCCGGCCCTATCTGTTGTCCGACCTGCATAAGTGTGCGAACGTTGAAGGCAGCCAGTTTGAATGGTGCACGTGGTTTCAGAAAAACTGCTTCAGTATTCGTATTTGGTGGTAAGATACAATTTTCAACCGGTCAGTGACTCGAGGACGTTTAGATAGAATCGAGTTTCCACTATAGGCGAGCTGCTGTATAAGTCGTAAAGTAAGGATAGACAGAGTGGGAATAAAAGAGAGTGAATATAACGTAAATAATAATAATAATGATAATGTGAATCTTTTGATTGTTAATCGAAGTAAGAAAAGTATTTTCCATAAATATCGACATTTCATCGTATTTAAATGTGGTCTGTTATACTGCCCGGGTGTTCAGACCAAAGCAGGTGGTTTTCCTAGGGGGCCACACCCCGTGCCTTTGACCTGAAGGTCTGATCCACAAGGCATTTGAGCATCGTGAGATGCGGTCTCATGGTAGCCAGTGAACGACGATTGGTTCATACGCAATTCGTTCCCGCAGGATACTGGAGCCCATGTGCACCATTGGTTTGGGATCCGGCTAAAGTGCCGGATATTCTCTTTTCGTCCTCTCATTTTCGTAAAAAACACCCGCCACGAGAAGGCAATGAGTAGGACTTCCCTGACATAGGCTGTATACACGTGGCCGTGTGAGAGCATTTCGAGGAGGGAGGGCCCACCCCACTCTTGGCATACCAGGGCATTTGGGGGCTGTCTTGTTTTGTTCATCAGTCGATCACGGATCACCGTTTTGAATAATTTTCATTAGTTTAGTTTAACTAATTTGCAAGGAGTTATTGATTACTAATTAGATGCCAAGATGAAGCTGATCTCGAACCTGGGACTTAACGATTGATGACTGAATTCTTTAATGTCTAATCCACTAATTAATTGTTTTTATAATTAATGTGTAAGCGATAGGTTTGTATTGTTTCATTTTGAATAGATTCATTGTTCAGTATATAATTACAATAAATAAATAAATATAATCAGAGAAGGGTATTTTGTGTGGATATTATAGTAATTTAATGGTTGTTTTTATGAGTCAGTTGAAGCTAGAGCACTATGGAAAACCTGGTCTAGTGGTTAAGCGCTCGTGTGCGAGACTGATAAGTCCTGGATTCCCATCTCGCGAGTTGGGGTCGTGGATGCGCACTGCTGAGGAGCCCCATACTAGGACGAAACGGCCGTCCAGTGCTTCTAGGTTTTCCATGGTGGTCTATCTTCAATTGATTCATGATCTCAACTATTAAGTAAATAATTATTTCGCCTTGAACAAGGTAAGGTATGTGCAGTTAATCGATTTTGTTCGTCAAATAAAGAATTATTCATACAATTTATTGACTAACATTTTCTTTATTATTTTTTATCTAGGTTTATAGATTAGTCAAGTTAGATCCTAGAGTACATCGTGGTCAAAGTTTAATACATTTAGCTTGTTCACCAGAAACTTCAACTGTTGGTCGTTTTGTAATTTGTACTTTTCCAAATGTCAATGTTTTATCTTTGCTATTTGAATTAGGCGCTGATGCTAATTGTGCTGATGTTGATGGACAACGTCCAATTGGTCATGTTTTAGCACAACGTCGATTAAAAAGTTCTGAACATGTATGTATATGAATATATATACTTATATATGTGTGTGTTTGTGAGCATTTTATTCCACATTGAATTATATGTAATTTTTCTGCTTTGTTTTCTACTTTTCAGGTAGGTAGTCGAATCCAGGAAGTGTATTTTCATCCATATTTTGTAAATATGCTATTTCAATATTCCATCGAAGTACCTGTGCACATAATAGCCCATATAATACGGATTCATTTCTTTAAATGAAAAGGAATCTTTGAGTCTTTGTTCAATCATGATTCAAAAACATTTAATTACAGAAGTCTAGCGTTTTTTCGTTTAATAAATTTAGCTAGAGTAAAAATTTAACAGCTGAATTTATGAGTCGACCTAGGCTAGACGACAAGTGAAAACTCGGAAGCACTGGAAAGCCATTTCGTCCTAGTCTGGGACTCTGCAGTGGTGTACACTCACGATCTCTCACGCGGGACTTAAACCCAGGGCCTTTGGTCTAGCACACGAACGTTTAACCTGTAGACCACCGAGTTGGCATCCAGCACTGTTAATATCTAATTTCAATTGGTTTATGTTCTTGCGCAACCTTTCATCCATTGTCTAAAGTGAATAACTATCTCCATTAGTCACGACTTCTCACTAGAACTCCAGGAGTTCCATCTTGAAGCTAGTCAATAATCAGCACATGATTATTATCAGAATAAGGATTTGTGGAGATTTTAGTAATTTTAACAAGTGAATTCATGAGCCGATCTATAATCTTCACAAATCTCCATTCTGATAAAGCGAAAATAACAAATGTAGCAGAATAAGAATTCATTTCAATGTCATGGATTCGCATCAACTGTTACTTATAACCTAGAGACAATAACCTGCTTCGGTCTGGGCACCCGGGCAGTAACACCGCCCACACACAAATCAAGTGATTTGTGTGGCATCCGTGTTGTGATATCTGTATCTGCCGCTGATCGTAATCCACACACAAAAGTAAAACATCTAAACTGGTCTGGCGATATTTCCTGTATTCGGAACTGCTCACATTCCCGGTTTACGATGTTGACATACGTCACTTAGTCATCCTGTGGTTTTCTTTACAAACTGAAGACACTAGTATCTTATGTGAAACATTGATGATCGTTCCATCAAATATATGTGTCAGGCACTCTACTGTTCCCAAGAAGGTTAGGTCGGCTGGATTCTTTAAGAGAATAAAACTACAAAACTTTTCATGTTCCAAAACTCGAAGTTTTTATAATAATAATCTCAGTATTCGAAGTCATAGTAGAATTAGATACCTGCGTTTTTCAAGATATCGACATATTCTTGACCAACAATTCGATAAGAGCATTTTGCCGTTTCAATAATAATTTCATATTATTCATTTTATTGATATAAAATCCACTTTAACTGAGTATATGCGTGTAGGTCTGTTTCAACTACCGTCGCCACTGAAATGACTCTCAATTTTTACTTTTACACCAATGGTACAATGATTTGCCTTAGACGAATATCTACACTAGATGATACCCTGCAGATGTCTATTATAGTAGACATCAGCACAACTAAGCTCAAGAACACGTGACTGGTTTGACTAGAACGTGAGTGTATTTCAACGTCAACAACCGACAACAATAATGGTAAAGGGGGGTCGGTAAATAAATAACACACCTAACAGTTCATCAGTTCATCATTTGTGTGTGGGCTGTGATACTGCCCGGGTGCCCAAACCGAAGCAGGTGGTTATCTTAGGGGGCCACTCCCCGAGCCTTTGACCTAAAGGTCTAACCCACAAGGCAGTGGAGCATCGTAAGGAGATGCAAACACACCTAACACCTATCAGATTATCTAGTAGTCTGACTACGTAAGCAACAAGTCGTTATTTTGTTCACCTACATATCATCTTGTTAACTTATTTCCTTAGAGACATCTTATTAACTAATGTTTCTCGTAAGTGGACTATGTGACATATGGACGATTTTTAGAGGATTGTTGTTTCGCGTGAGATTGAATTCTGTGTCATAGTCAATTGTCTTTAGATTGTGGATATACTCAGCTAATGAGTCCCAACGACTAACATGAAAAAGTCTCAGATCTTCTTTGGATCAATTAACTTATTGATCACTTGATCGACTGAATCCGTTCAATACTTGTAAATCTAACAACATTCAACATTGAAGTACTATTCAATAATTGAATCTCGCTTTAAATGTATTTATTTATTTTTCATTCATATGTTATCCATTTTTTTGGTAGGCCTCTCTTGTTCATACTCTGGTTAAATGTGGTGCTCATTTAGATGCAACCAATCGGAATTCTCTAACTATCCTCTATAAACGTTTTCATCATGTACTCCTGGAATCTCGTGTACAAATCTTGGATCATGTGACTTTAGCTTGTCATGCTGCTCGTGTAGCAAATCATTATGGATTGACTGCATCGAATCCATCAGTTCAAGCTTATTTACCGAATAATTTATTATTTTTCTTACAAATGCATCAGTAAACAACTAAATGATAACAGGAGTTAAACGGCTTGATGTATTTTTTTCTACTTTAACTTAAAATCAAAAACTTTGTTTACTCTAATTGTTTGGTTGTTTCCCACCCCACCCCCACTTTTCTCAAAATTTGGTTCAATCGTTAATAATATTAAAAGGAACGAAAAAAAACCCAATACAAAACAGCACAATATCCCTGTACACAACTATTTTTTCTTCTTTAAATTCCTATAGTTTTAATCTCTCTATATGAGTTGTTTCTTCCACACACACCCCATCTCTCTCTCTCTCTCCATTACCCCCCCCACCCACCCAGAAACACATATATCCACTGCGCCAACATATTACTATCATATATAAATGTATTTTGTTAATAAAAAAAACAAATTATATAATCACTTATTTTAAGTGTTTAATTTGATCAGAAAGATGTTCCATTGATTAATTGAAATAAAATAGTTTTCTCTTTTCTATTTGTCATTGTGTGATATTTATTGTTGAAGTCTATTTGTGTTTACTAATGACTCGTCTTATTATTATGATGATGATGATTAGAATTCCTTTCGATTGAGTTTTCCCCATCGTTATACATAGACATTTGTTTCTGTACAGAACTTTTTTTTATATAGATGAATGAATGAATGAATCAAATGCCTTTGATACTGATAACAATAAGGCAGTGAGTGAGTAAAAGTTTGTTCTTGTTTTGTTTTATTAGTTAATGATTTGTAAACGTAAAATAAATTAGATTATTTACTTTATTATTATTGTTGTGTTTTTTTTTTAAAAAGTATTTTCAGTAATGATTGAAATGCCTCTAAATGATCTGGTACAACTGAGAGTATGAAGAGTCAGATCTCTTTCTCGAAATGCTCTCATATGGTCATGTGCATACAATCACTGTTAGGAAAGTTTTACTCATTGCCTTTTCTCGCACTACGAGTGTTCTTTACGAAATTGAAAGGACGGAAAACGAATGTCCAGGGATTTAACAGGTTTAGTGGATATAGGAAGATCCACCTAAGTGAGTTGGAAAACCCTGATTCCAAACCAATGGTGTACATAGGCTCCAGGATCCTTAGGGACCGGATGGCGTGTGAACCAATTGTTGGTTACCGGCTACCATGGGACTGGATCTCCAAATGTTGCTCCAGTGCCTTGTGAATTAGACCTTTAAGTCAACGGCTCCGGATGTGGCACTCTATGAGAACCACCTGCTTTGATTTGGGCACGCGGGCAGTATCATATCCGACACACAAATCGAGTGACTTGTGTGACGCATATGTATTCGGTGCCTCCAATATTTATGTGCTCAATAAAATAAATAAATGATTGAGATGGTAAGTAATATATACTCCTCAGCAGTGCATATTCATCATTATTATGCCACCAGGATCGAACTTTGGTAGAGTTGTGGATATACACTGTTGAGGAGTTTCATGCTTGAATGAAACAACTTTCCAGTTCCTTCTGATTTTTAATAATCGTCTATTTTAAGCTGGTTCATAATTTCACTAACATTTAGCAACTTCTACAAATCCCCATACTGAAAAGTAATAAATGGTTGTATAAATATAACAGTACTCATTGTTAGATGTACACTATTGGTTTGGAATCAGGGTTTTTCAACTCCGCTAGGTGGATCCTCCATAACCATCAACCCCGTTAAAGCGCCGGACATTCGTTTTTCATCCTCTCATCTTCGTAAACAGCATCCGTAGTGCGAGAATGCAGTGAGCAGGACTTCAAGTGGCCATGGGAGAGCTGACTCACCCCACTCGGCCGTACATGGGCATTTGAGGGCAAACCGAACTATAAATAAAATGACTTCTAAATTCAATATAAACATGTTCAAATAAAATGAAAACTGAATAATTCATGTGTTATTTAAAATCTTGGTGTAAAATGTGAGTACTCGATAGGTGTAATATCATTTTTACTCTATATTGACAAAAGGAATTTTTTCTGAACATTCTTGGTTTGTATTACTAATTAGGTAAACGTCATAAAATGCATTTATTGTTACGTGTTTGTTACTTCAGATTGACAGCTCTGTTGTTTATTAACTAATATATGACATTGGATTCAAAGAAATCTTATCTTATTTTGCAGAAGTTTGTGATTCACTAGTCTTAGCTCGTTCAGAACATTGTACATTCATGGTCATAGACTCCGTTACAGAAGCTCAACACTTCCCCAGGATGTCTTTGATTTAGGCTTATTAGCCATTTTATTGTTATGTATTTTGCTAATATTGTTTGTTCAGAAAAAGTCATCCAGACGGTGAGTCGGGGAGAGGAAATGCTATGTTTGAAGCGATTATGAGTTCACCTAGTCTGCGAACGGAATAAAGACTCTGTGACCAAAGACCAATAAGCTAGTTATTCTAATGCGTCCCAGCCCCGTTAACTAGAGAGAAAAGTCGAAGTTCGAACGGGGAAATATATTTCACAAGCAGCCGGAAGCACGAGCAATCCCGACCCGTCTAGTCGGAAACACACTCATTTATGTATTGATTTTTACACCCATTTTTGATTAATAATCTGAATAAATCACGTATATGAAAAATACTTCATACAACAATATCGTATGTTATGCAGAATAAAATGTCATAGACGAAAACGAAACCGAATACTATACAGGGTGATCATCAAATTGAATTAAACGGAACTAATGTTGAATAAATATCATAATGAATAAATCAATCAAATTTTAATCTTTCATCCCGTCATAACAGGAAAACACAAGAGATCGTATACGTTGAGTGCTTTCACCAACACAGAATGTCGACTATTGTCCTGGAATCCAACTATTCTTTGAATCTTCATATACACGTCTTTTTAAATTTAGCCATATGAACGTCCCTCAAGATTTCTTAAGTTTCTAAAGGTTTTTTTCATAAGTTTAAAAGATTTTAGTCCATGTATTCGTTAAGCGGATCATTTTCTCGATTGTGGTCCAAGATGTCTTAGTTCCTAACTAGGCTTTGCATGCTTGAGTTTGGTCACTTATATGGTGTAACTATCTGTAAAAAGTATGGTTAAAGGTATATGGTCAGTTATTGAGTTGGATTAGCGAAGGTGATACCAAAGTTTAAACTTAATTTCGGAATAATGTGGAGTTTTAACTCGGTGGTTTCAATATTCAATTGTCAATCATTATTATTTCAGACGAAGTGCATATTATTATGGCTAGAAGGTATTTGTCAGTTTATCCCTTCCGGTATACACGATGTCTGTTTAGCGCTAGAAGTGAACTCCTCGGCAGTAAGTACTCGCAACTCCGCCAGGAACCAAATTCATAACTTGCAGATTTCGTGGAGAATGCCTGGACATTAAAAGCAATCGGTTATTATCCTATTGTACACTACATCAACTAGAATCAATTTGCGATATGTCGCGGCGATCTTTCAATGTCGTAGCTGAAACGCATTTCATTGATCTAAATCAGACTACCATTGGGAACCTGAAATCACTGGACAGCCTTTCCATCCTATTATGAGACTCCTTAGGAGTAGGCATCCACAACCTATCATATGGAAATGAAGCCCAGGGACTTTGATCTCGCGTATGATTGTTTGACCTCCAGACCACTGAGCTGACATCCGACGGCGTTAATGTTCAACCTCGATTACTCGAAGACATTGGGAGACTGTCTTCACACGTTCAAGGTCGTGGAATCACACTGCTTAGGAGTTAAATACTAGTCTTCGATAGTGGTTCAACTTAGATCGGTTCATGATTTCAATGAAATTCAACAATCTTCACAACCCCATACTGATCATTATTTAATGATTGTTAGGACATTGATGTTTTTCATTTCTTTTTTATATCTTTTGAGTGAATAGTTATCTTTCATCCTCCTATTCTTCTCTAACCTCTCAATTATTACTCAACCTCCTGATGATATATGAAATGTCGGACCACTTAATGATGTAATCTCTTCTTATTAAATAACTAAATTATAACTATATGAATGTACAGCTTAAGTAAATGATTTCATTGAAAAATGAATTCTCTTTATTTCTATTCAGTGACACAATGGATTACATTGATTAGATCTTTAAGAACACAATACATAATTTGATTCATATTAATTAGTTCATATCTGTTACAACTTGTGAACCTTTGTGCCCTGTTAATATATATCTAACGATATGATCGCCTATTTGACTTACCGACTTATTGACCGAATCAATGACTCATAAATGAGTACGAGTAGGTTAAAGTTCTTATTGGTCCTTGAGATAGAAGCTTTACGTTTAACCCAGCCAATTCAGTTCAGAATACCAATATCAACGTCCGTTATATGAATCATGTATTTCAAATATACTTGGTTTATATACAAGTTGATCGTACCATAACATAGAAAATAACAGTTATACAAAATCAAGCCAAAAAGTGGCGGTGTTTGTGAGAAACTGTGACTAATGGATTGAGAATAGTAAATCATATAACAGTAACCAATAGGTCAAATAGAAGCTTATAATAAGAGGAATATGTATAGTTTTTAACAGTTATACAATAAGAAGTTACCCATAATTTAATCTACTCTGGGATATAACAATATCATAAATACTTACTAACTTACTCATATTAACCCTTCTCGAGGAGCATAGGCCAACCACCGGCATTCGCCATCGGACTCTATCCTGGACAATCTTTTCCATTTTCTATTTATACTTTTCATGTCTACTTCCGATTCTCGAAGTAGTGTGTTCTTTGGTCTTTTGTTTTTTCATTTCCTTTCAGGATTTCAAGTTAGCACTTGTTTCTATCATAAATGAATAACGAAATTATAAAATTCCATGAAATACTATGAAACTAAATTCACTTAGTATTGTTTTACTTGAATCTTCCCAATTGATATTAAGGACTGCAGTTAATCAGTCTCTTATTGGTATATATGCATACTGTGTGTATTGCCTCAATATTACCTTAATTCACAAGCATTATAAACAAAGATGCATAGTGGTTAGCAATGGAATCAAGGATGTATGTTCCAT